TTTTAGGGGTCAGTCTCTCAGTGCCCGTAGCCAGAGGGGCCATGACTGGGTTAGTTTGAATGGGGAGGGTGAGAGAAATGAGGAACAGAATGGGTATAATAAAGAGTAAATCGAACGCCTCTGAGGTCAACCAGGAGAGGGCAGAAAGGACCATGTAGGACAAGGAAAATGATCAGAAATCTACCACATCTCTGCCTGGACCTGAAGTCAGAAAGACCCAGGCACTTCTGTCTGCTTCTGTTGTCTTCTGTACAATTTCTGTGAAAGATTTCTTGAAATTTCACCAATTGAAAACTCATCATTGTAAATGGGAAACACTAGACAGTAAGTTGTATAGAAAGAATGATGACAATTATGCATAAAGTGAATTTGAAAGAATTCATCAAATATCTTCATCATTCATCTTTCTAGGTGACAGAAATTTTGATTTTTTAAATTCTTTCTATTTTTTTTCTAATTGTAATAAGGTTATTTTTATAACAAAGACATTGAAAGAAGCAAATCAAGATTTCTGAGATTTAAAAATACTTTTATGAGCTCGGGGAAATTGATAGCATCTCAGTGTTGATGGAAGTTAGTTTAAAGATACTTTTCTTCAGTTTTCCAAGTTTGACCTTGCTAAGAAATGCAAAGGCGGAAAAAGAGGAAGAAGAAGAAGGCAATGAACAGGAAGAGTAGGTGACATTTGGAAAAGTATGCTGCAGAGACCGGAGAGAGGGAAGATAGACAAGCAGCAAAAAGAAGTTGGGAGAGCATATCAGAAGCTGGGACAGGCGAGAAAGCATTAGAACAAGATGAGTTGAGGGTCTGGAGTCAAACCAGTCTCTACCAGAACTGTGCATGTTAGGACGGACTGTCTGTCTTAATTTATACAATGGAAATAAAGTTACATATTTTAGAGGTTGCTTTGTCTTTTTAATTAAAAAGGCAATGTCTGGAAAGCCCTTCTCATAGAGCATCACCAGACTATGCTGCTAAAGTTTACCACTTACTTTGAAGTTTTGGTTATGGTCAGTCCTCCTTTCCCTAGAATCCCAAGAAGGCTCAGAAGAGAAAAGACCCAGGGAGCCCCTTAACTAACAGAACTCCATCAACAAACCAAAACACCTTTTGCAAAACTCCCACCGTACTCTGTGAAGTGACGAAAAGCAAGAATTAGTGCATAAAATGAATATGTCTTTATTCTTCCAGGTGAAGTTTAAAATAATTTAACCTACAATGGTTTCTTCTTCTCAGAGCAAAAGATCACTCTGAGATTTTACTTAAAATTGCAGTTGTCAAAATTTCTGGTGAATTTTGATGTTGATGTCAGGACTTCTCTGTGGCAAGGCCAGCTACCTCCCAGGGAACTACACAGGGCACCTTAGAGCATGTAACCCCCAGGACTTACCACTAGAGTATCCTGCAGGGATCTCATCAGTGCCTACAGGCTAATCCAACTCAGGGGCTCCAGTTCATGCTCTATGGACCTGTTGAAAATGAGCTTTTAGATTCAACTATTACTTGCCTACACTAAGCCTGAGTTTCCTCCTCTGTAAAATAAGAATAATGCTCTACTCATTTTGGCTGTTGTAAAGACTTAATAAGATGCAATATCTATTATATAAGAACTCTGTAAACAGCAATGCAACAATGATAATAATGACAATGAAAATTGTGACTAGCTCTTTGCTAATGTACTGCTATGAATACTACGGTCAGTTTTATAGGACATGCGCCTTAGTCTTAATTGTAAGTTTTTTCCATATAGACAAGTTATAGGAAGTCAAGTTCAGAGAGTTATGTCAAGAACCTCCAGTCTAAACTAGAGGAGATAACTTAATCCTTTATAGCTCTTACAGTCCCCAGACCATAGGGTACCTCCTGGGTTTCCCAAACCCTCCTATCAGTCTATCAGGATATCGTCTGCCCTGGACACGTTTGAATGATCACTGCCATTCTCTTCCTATCTGGCTTTTCTTTTCTAGTGTTTTTTAAAATTGTGACAAAAGGTCACTGCCTTCATTCCCCCTAGGCCATTTACCTCCATGGACATACTATGAGACTTGTCATCACTGAAGTCTTGAAATCTCCCATTCTCCCACCTTGGAAATTTCCTCTCCTTTCCTCTTTCTGTGACCCAATATCTACCCCACAAAATTTCTTCAACCACATCTTAACTTCTCATCCATGGATCCCACCAGACCTGTCCATCGTCACCTCGGCTATTTGTTCAGCTTAGGCTCCACGGTCCAGTATAACAATTCCTTTACAAACTTCCAGTTCCCTTGCTCTTCTCAACTTCTGTCACAATCATTTTGCAAAACGTCTCCCAGGACCAATTCAATGATCCATGATTTTCACGCCTGTACTCAAGAAGCTAGAGGTAACTGCAGGCATTCATGTCACTCAGCAAACTAGTTTCACCTTAAATTAGCAAACTCAAAATTTTCAGGTCGGTCTCAAGACTGGCAGAGTTCTGCTGCATTTCTTTAATACACTTGCAACCCCCTCTCTGAGATGACTCTTAACACTACCTTCCTATTCAAACCATCTACCTTTTAACCTGCCTCATCCCAGTTGCTGACTTCATCTTGTGGTTTTATTTGAAAAACTGAAACATTCTCTCTACACCATCAAAACCTCTTCCTTTCTGGCATCCACACCCAGCCAGCCATCCTCTCCTTGCTGCTCTTTTTAAACTAGAAAATTGTCTCTCTTCCTCAATGTCCAGTTATTTACACATTCTCTTGGTCTCATTCCATCTGCCCACCTCAAGAATTTTCGTTTTCCCCAGATCTTCAGGGTCTCTCTACTGGATCATTCCATCAGCTTGCAAACATAGCATATTCTGTTTACACACACACACACACACACACACACACACACACACACACACAAGACATACACACCTTGACCTCAAACGCCTTCCATTCACTTTTCTATTGGGTGACACAGAGCCTGGTTCCCTCCATGAGCAAACTTCTCAAAACAGTTGTGCCCTGTGGGCTCCCTATTGTTTCTGCCTCCTTTTTAACTACCTCCACACCCCACCATGTCTCCACACTCCACAATGTTACCCACAACTTCCACCACTTATCTTTTGGTCCTTCTTGGTCCTGTGGTTCTCTGTTTTCACACTATATATTCCTCTCTTGCCTTTTAGCTACTTCTCTGTCTCTTCTGCCGGCATTTCCTCCTATTTGTGTTAGAGCTTCCAACAGGATCCCAGGTTCCGTTCCTGTATTTCTCAAGAATACTCCCCCAAGGCCATTCACGTCTTCACACTTCCACCTAGGCACTGCCCACTCCTGAATTTGCAACTGAGAAGAAAATGTGTGTTTTCAGTTTCTTCCTTCAGATCAAAGGGGCATCTCCCATGTAACTTGATCACTCTTAACAGTCTTCCCACTTTCAGTTAAAACCCATTTCTCACCTAATCTTCTCTATCTCTATAAGTGACACCATCGACCACCTAGTAGCTCAAACTAAAATCCAGGGAATCATCTTTAATGTGCCAGCTTACTCATGCTCCTACCTAATCTTTCATTCCCTGCATTTTCAACATGCAAAATGTATATGAAATCTATCCTCCACCATGCCAACACCTTACTGTGAGTCACTATTAGATCCACATTGAACTTCTCTTCATTTACCAGAAATGAGAGGGCCCTTTCCTAGCCTATACCTGCTCCTAGCCAAAGCTTGTGAGTGACACCTGCAGCCTCTTCCGATGCCTCCTCTTGATGCTGAGGAGCAGGCGCTGGGAACAGTGGAGTTGTGCCACCACAGGAGCCAAGGTGCTAGGCACACACAGAGACTCATGGGCACCACCAACATCACTTCTGGTACCAAAGATGAACCCGGTGCTCTGGAACCCTTGACAGCCAGAAACAACCTGGATAGGAGGACATCTTCTCCCCTGTCTTCTCTGTCACATTCTGTTAACTGGTTGCCAAAGCGTCACATCTTCTCCTTTCCCCATCTCTCACGTCTTTTAGTTTTTCAGACTTAGTTCTCATGACCTTAGAGAAACAGACATCAGAGTCCAAGATATTGATACAATCATTTTAATTATTTTTATTTTCAGTTTAGTTGAGTGTGGAAAAAAATAATAATATAAACATATTCTAGATCTTCTGAATAGCCACCTTATGATCTGGTTCTGCCATATTATTTTAATGATAATAAATGCTTTGTATTTATAAACTTGTGTTTTGGAAGCATAATTATATCATTTAATACTGCACAAATTTTTTGTCAATTGTTTGAAAAGAAAAAAAATGGTGGGAACATTGGGTCTTCACATGGTATATGATCTAAGAACATTTCAAACAACCAACTGATGTTTTGTGCTGATCCCATCTTTGAATGTATCAAGAAGCAGCCATTAAGTTATGTCTGTATGTTTAAGAAGGATTATAATAAAAACAATCTGTTAGTGCTAGGTTCCCAAAAGAATCTTTTCGCCTTTAAAAATGGACAATACGTTACTTAAACTATGAAAAACATTGTCAAGGAGATTTTAGGGGAAAAAAGTAACTACTCTTCTACTCTTTCTGTTTCCCTGTTGTATTTTTAGTTTTTATTGTGTTTGTATTTTATGACCAAACCCAATTCTCTCTGAAACTCAGGCAGGAGCTCCCCAGGGTTGGGCTAGAAGATGAACCTAAATTCCCCACACCACAACATACTCAGTGCCATCCTCCTGGTTTTGCCTCCAAACATCTGAAGTGGCTTCTTAGGCCACAGTCTCTGGTAGGATGAACTGTCTCCCTCCAGGTCTTTGAGCAACTTCCTGGCACCCACCCCTCCAGTCCTTCATGCATAGATGTGCCTCATCACACCCTAGGTTCAAACTGGAATCCCCACTATCCTGGCTTGAAGAATGAAAAAAAAAGAGAGAGAAAAAAATGAGTAAATAATGATGGATTGAAATAAAGGATTAATTCACCTGATATTGAATCGCTTGCTCACTGTGTGATTTGGAGTTAAAAAAAAAAAGTGTTCTCTCTTTTCAGGTAACAGATGACAAAGTGAAGATCGAAAAGGACAAAGGGAAAGCCAAATCTCCCAAGGAGAAGAAGCCCCCAAATGCCAAAGTTGCTAAAGGAAAGGGCAAGGATCAGCCCGAGGTCAACACCACAGTGAAGAAGACCACGGAGCTGAAGCGGAGGGGAGAAGAGGACGAAACCAGCCGCTACATCGGTCAGCAAGGCGCTGCTTCTACCGGTTGCCTTTTGCCTTTCGATTCTTGTTTTACCACGTGTGACATACTTGAGAAATCATTCGGATAATTATGCTCAATCTTTTCCAGCCTTTTCATCCTAGATAAAACCATAAATCACTTAACTTTCCATGACACTCTCTAAGAGGAAAGTTTTTTTCTATTTGCAATTCATTTATGTTTTTAGCAAATATATTATGTAGCATGGGTCTCACTGGGCACATTTATAGTGCACAGATGAGGAGTGAGATAGTGAGCTGATTGTGCCACCAAGGAGCAGATGATCTTCTTGGGAACACAAAGGAAAGTAAAACAAAGTGAGTGTTGTGGAGGGTGAAACACAGTGGAAATGAAATCAGGCCACTTAATTTGAACTTCCTGACTCCAACTTCTCCCATTATCACTTTTTTTCCTAATTAGAGCATCTAGAATTTTCTTTAATCTTAAATTATCAACATAAAAATGGTTTATCCTGGGCAGGTATTAGTGATTCATTGCTGCCTCCCCTAAACCCAAAGGGAGCTACTTGTTATTATCTGCATTTTATTTATTCATTTACCTATTTTAATTAATAGATTTATTCTTGAACAGTTTTAAGTCTGCATCATATTTAAAGGAGGGGGCAGTAAACTTTCATATCCATTATCATTTATCTCCCGTGGCTCTCTTCTATGTACCCTAGACCAAGAAGCAATGATACAGAGTTCATGGGCAAAATCAGCACTGATTTGTTGAGTGACAGAAGAACAATCATTACATAAAAAAACGGAAAGTTGTGCATCTGTTGTACTATTCATAAACTGGTCTTAATGGGCTCTTGTAGAATGTAATGTTTTTATGTGCCATGCATTATCAGTATTAAAGTATGACAATGTCTCACCCCCCAGAATATCACATTCTCAGATAAGCTCATTTGTTAATATGAATCTTATATCTAGGAAAAAATAGAGAAAAAGTGTATTTTTAAAAAATTTAATGTGATGAATGTATAGTTGCTACACAACCAATCCTCAGAATTCACCTTCACTGACATAACTTTGGTAGCAAACACGTCCATATTCAATATTTCCCTCTCCTGTAAACACCTCTACCTATAAAATACCACAAAACTTCAGCTACTTGTAATTCAGGAGTAAAGCCAGATGTTGCTCCAAAAAGATTAGAACCAAAAAAAAAAAAAAAAGAAGTTACTAGAGGCTAAACTCTGACAAAACCCAAGCACACGTTTTTCATGACCACAGGCCTCACGTATGTTTGTCCTCCTATTACACCTATGTCTCATTTGAAAAAGTGATTTAATATTTTGTAAAATGGCCACGATCTTCTTACTGGAAAGGCAGTAATGAAAAACAGTCAACACTACTGCATTCCAGCCAACAAGACCATTTTTTTTGGCAAGCGGGAGGGATTATAAATGCATGCATAATATATATAGCCATTGAACTGGCTGAGCACAACCTGTTCTCTTTTACAATGATGGCTGCTCTTCTTTATGGTATTTTGAACAGACGATGAGCCAGATGATGGTGCCCAACATTACATTATTGTTGTTGGCTTCAACAATCCTCAGCTATTAGCCATTATGACTGAGCTTGGCATTCCCATAACCAGCGTGATTAAAATATCTTCAGAGAATTATGAACCTCTGCAGACACACCTGGCAACAGTTAGCCAGCAGCAGGAAGTTTTTCTTCAGCCAGAAGGTATGCAGTCTGCTACACAACTTACTGAGTCTTTCGACATTACCCGCTGTCCTTAAAGTACAAATGCAATCTGCTGTCCAAAACATAGTCCTATAATACATACATTATTAAATCTTTTCAAGGCTTTGATTTGCTATTGATTCTGCATGTATCAGCCAAGAGTCGTAAATTTTGCAAATTAAAATCATACCCTGTGTTTATTCCCCTTTGTAGCCACACACACACAAAAAAAACAGACTGCAAGTCAGAAAATTTGGTTATGCAACTACAGTTCTCAGGAACTTTTGATCTCTAACTTTTACCCAAAGTATACTCTGGGTGGATTGCTGTTGATAATGTTCTTGTAAAAACCACAAGTCACCAAATGACCCAAGTGAGGTCCCAGCCTTGGATTCTTGCCCTACTCTGCTACTGGTTTATTGCGATAAGTCAGAGGGAGCACTTTACCATCCTGTCCTGAGAATTCAAACTTATGGGATAAGATCCCAACCATATTGCCATTCAGTCATTTTGAGCCTTTGGGTCTTCAACTCAGGGAATTGTGCTAGACCACCTCTGTGGGAAAGAAACAGAAAGCTACTGTGTACTTTCAAGGGCAGAATGGGGATTCAGTGCAAGCCTGTGTTTCCAAAAATCCCAGCTCTTTCTGCCATATGTGTTGCTTTCACTGCTGTTTATTAATAATATTTGCACAGAGCTTTCTAACTTACACAGCCACATACCAATTTCTGTAACACTATGTTTTTTTTCAATTGCTTTTCAATGTCAGAAATCACTACCCCTGATTATAATAGCTATCATTACTGGGCACAGGTCTTAGGACAAGGCTTAGCGCTAACGTCTTTATTAAGTGCATTGATTCATGTACTTGCTCAACATCCTGAGGAAGTACGTTTTATTATTTCCATCTCACCAAAAAGGACTCTCAGACTAGAGGTAGCTATTAAATAAAAGAATTGAGATTCAATCCCAGGTTACTGCTGACTATCTCAAAGGCTAGTTACATTAAATAATTTCTCAGTGAAGCTGGTGAAAAAAACTGCCGCATAAGTACCGAATATAGTCTTTCCATAAATGTTTAATGAATAAAAATAAATTAACATAAAAATAGACTTTATAATGGAATAATGAGTCCTCAGTGGTAGAAAACTACTATTCAATTACAGATAGAACAAGCGTAAATGTTTTAGACAAATGTTCATGTAGAATTTTATCAAAATCTGTCATTATGTTCCAGTCAGGGTACAAATGCCTGAAGAAGAGTCTGTAGCTGTTTTAATGTGACCAAAAAGTTAACTAAAGCACAAATCACTCATCCAGTTTGTTTAGCCATGTGAAAAGGAGAAGTGAATCAACTATGTTTTTAACAGTTACATAGCAGATCCAAATATGGTAAAAAAGTGATTTGCTGGAAAAACTGGTCCTGTATAGATGCAATCTCAAAGTAATAAGAATACTGAGCATATTTAGCTTCCAAAATGTGTGTCCTCATCGTAATCTCTCTGGGCCTCAACTATAAAATCAAGGTGAATAAGCTCACTTTAATATCAACCTCAAAATATTCTGATTTCATAATTATATTGTCCGGTTTCAAAAACTTCCCCAAATTACATTTTTTCTTTTTCTTGATATAGTATAGATGTCTTGCAATGCCCATGACTCACTTTTCCAGTTAAAGTGGGAAGAAATTCAGTACTCTCGTTTTGTAGTAAAACATGTTGCTATTATTAGATAAAGAAGCTGAAAATATGAAGAAAGAAAACTCCACAAAAGAACTCAAAATTTTTTGGAAGTACTTGGAACCAATCCTGAATAACGAGAAACCTGAAACAAATCTCTTTGATGTCGCTCGACTTGAATACATGGTCAAAGAAGCCAATTTTCCTTCTGACTGGTCAGACAACAAGATGATGGTTAGTACACTTGTCAGTGAGGGTGTGTGGGTTTGGTATGTGACCCTGGTCCATTTGCCCCATTCACTCATTCTGTTGATATTTACTGAGCACCTATGCAACATGTTGTGATAGGCTCCTTCATTTTCAGGACAAGGATAACACTGAATGCCCAGTTTCAATTATAATCTGATTCCGTAGCTTTTAGCATATAAACTAGTGCTAAAGAATAAGATGTAGCATATGAAGATAAATATTGGTGTTTCTTTTATTTAGTGGTACATGGCTTTGTTTCATATTTCAATAATGTTCTAGGCAGTAATTAAAATGTTAATATATATTGATTGTGAAGGTAGTAAATCGTATAGTTAATTGTATGACCTCTCTCATATATCACAGATATATTAGTTCAAACATTGTTTTTCTAAACCCTTGCTTTTATCGACAAAATTATATTTTTACCTTATTTGACCAATAAGCTCTTTCCTAATAGGATGACTTGACCTGTGTCCCAACAATTAAGAGGCAAAATTTTCTGAGGACATCTATTGACCCCTGCTATTGAGGAACTTGCAGGGAGGCAAAACTAAAACCATGAACCAGAGAAGCAGTGATCCAGGAGTCATAGATCTAGTCACAGATCCATGAGTTATATGAAGCACACCACACTCTAGTTTTCCGTCAATTCAGAAAAGGGAAAAATCAGATACTTGGAAATGTAGCAAATCCCAAATGTATGAGGCATGAGAGGTTTTTTTTTTCCCCCCTTTAACAAGTTCAAGTAACTACTTTTCAAGGATGCAATGGAAGGTGTTCAGGCATCCCTCCATTATTAAAACAAAGATAGAAGCAGAAAACTTCTCCTGCCACTTTCTGCTCGACCCCCAGTCCCAACAAACAGGCTATATATTTGAGCATCAGAGGAGTGGAACTGAAGCAGAATGTTAGGGAGGAACCACATGCAGCCAGTGCTCTGAAAGGAACAGGGCAAAGCGGGTAGAGATGGTAGATGGGTGTCTCTACAGTGACTGAAAACAGGGAACACAAAAAAAGCTCACTCTCTAGGAGAGGAGCGAGTTCAAAACCTGTAACTGAGCCAAAGAGCAGTGACCATAGGCTGGGGAATAGGAGCTTCTGACTTGAGTAAGTAGCCTTGGTTAACTGTGTTTGACTTGCAAAGACTCTCAACATACAGCCTTAGATGTCACTATGCAGAAACAGAACCCTTGAGTCACTTGTCAACTGCCAGAGTAAACATTAGCCTTGGGCTATAGGTACAAAATGAAGCTGGATGTAGAAAAGCTGTAGCTGGTGACAGAGTCAGTTTTAGGAAAACTGGTTACTCTGGACTTTGCCTTTGCCCCTTTCCGCCCCTTCATCTAGAGGTGGAGAGTCTTCCTGCCTTCCCTTTTACTCTCTGCTTCCCAATGCTGAGCTCAAAAAAGGACCTACTGTCATCTGCCCCACCAAGAACTGGGGAATTGATGCTAAGGCAGCCTCCAATCAAGTACCTTTTGTTCCTTCACTAGGGAGAGCTCTCTTCTGTGAATCTTTTTTACTACCCAGGCACAGACTGAGAAAAGCTGAAATATATTGAACTCAAAAGAGAGTGCATTCCATTGCATCCTAGGGACATGGATATGAATACAGTGACATATAAACACAACTTCAAAAGGCCCAGCACCCTTCCTGAAATTCTGCCTCCTACTCCCAAGTGTTCACAACTTTCTATTCATTAAGAAGTTTAACCATTGAATTTTAAAGAATGTGATAGTGGCTGTATTTTCTTTTTTACCAATTACAGAGAAGAATTTAAAGGACAATTAAAATTTGGAAAAAAATATTTTTTGTCGAAAAGGTATTATCAGCTTACTAATTATAACAAAGCATTCCTGACTTCGACTTAGCAGTTTCATGTCCCATATGTATATTTGGGCCATGAGGGCAACTGGCATCAATGATATTGAGCTCTCTAGAAAGCCCTTTAGGGCTGTGCTGCCCAGCTGGTCCCACTCACTGCTATAAGTCGATTTGCTAGTAATTTTGAGTATCACATTGGTGCCAGCACTTTGGTGTGAATCCAGTTGCAGTAAGGTTTTAGAGTCAAGGTGTACTTCATAGTTTGTGAGTGAAAGGCCCACTATTCAGGATGATGGGAAAGGAAGAGTCTTGAATAATACTCAACAATAAAGTTGGACTTCAGAAGGCCATTGGACTTAGTAGTGAAGATAAAAGTTGGTTTTAAACTTAGGACCACATGATAAACATAAAAAAAAAGAATCTACTTCTAGTAGAAGCAGACCACATATACTGTGTTGCACTCTCAGATCTATCTATAAGTTGATAACAGCCTCATAGCCAACATAGGAGCCAGCCAAGGAGTCCTCCTTCCTCTCTGGATGGAGGAAAGTATTTGTAACCTTGGCTGAAAACAAGCAGGCTGTATTTCTGCTCAGCCAAGGTAACGAAAGGTTTACATCAAATAAATGCCCATCAAGATGTGCTAACTGCTCATGTACAACATCTGCAATATCTCAAGTTAAACCCCGGTTGCTGAAATAATTTGCTGGCCTTTAGCATATCATTTGGTGCTTGATTTTAAAATGAACTAACTAGGTTAAGCTAAGGGATCACTGGGCAGATGCATTACAACATTTTCTAGAAATACAAATGAAAATGTATTTCTATGCATTTAGGCAAGGAATGCCAGGTTGAAGCTTAATCAAAACACATCTCTATCTTAGCATGAGCACATGAATCCAGATGAATCAGTGTGTTATGACGGGCAGAGCTGTGCACTTCCCTGGGCTTCTGCCAGACTATGATTCCCCGTCTCCACAGGAAGCTCTCATTCTACCTTACCTCTTCAACTCAGAAATAGGTTGAGCCTATTTACTCCTTCTTGGCTTCCAAGAAAACACAGCAATCACAGAGATTCCCTACTCCTGGGAAATTACTCCTGGAAATGAAAGCACAAGTAATAAGAGCACCTGACCTGTAACTTGCTTGTGGACCCATAAAACTTGTGGACCTTGTAGAAGCAATGATCTACTTAGATTTTTAGTGCTTTTCCTTAAAGTTAGCCCAGGTTAAAGGAAAGAAGGTAAACATGGAGGAAAGAAAAAAATATCGTTTGCACACACACTGTAGCATCCTGGAGTGGATGATACAGAAAGCTGAGCAAGCAGTTCCATTGTGCTACCTGCACAGACAGGTAAGAAATCATCTACCACTTGTCTTTGGCTAAGGATATCCAAATTAACTAACATGTTTAAGGAACTGAGATAACAAAAGCTTAACAGTCACTCTGTAGAAACTACTGACCAGATTGTATTTATTTAGTTAAAAAGAAAGAAAGAAAGAAAGAAGAAAGAAAGAAAGAAAGAAAGAAAGAAAGAAAGAAAGAAAGAAAGAAAGAAAGAAAGAAAGAAAGAAAGAAAGAAAAGAAAAGAAGGGTTCAGGGATACAGATTTGGTCACCAGACCTGGAATCCAGTATGACTCAGGGATTCAAGGATTTTTTTTCTATAAATTATTGATAGATTTAGTTGGCAAGGGGGACACAAACATGTACCTGTTTACAATAGTATGAAATGAACCACCAATTGTCATTCATCGTCTCACCTGTAGCTGGTATGAAACTAACAGCCAATTGTCATTCATCGTCTCACCTGTAGATGGAATTGGGCACCGAAATTTTTGAAAATATTGCCTGCCTGATGTATGACAGCCTGGACTGGAAGAGGCAACACCAGCACTACTTGGAAAGCATGAACCTTATCAATGTCCCGCTGGCAGTGACTGAGAAAACTCTCCTAGAACCTGTGATTTCTGAGGTAGGCATGGTTCAAAAGTCTTTTGTCAAGCGTCCGAAGGAAAAATGACATAAAAACTTGTGTCGAGGTAATACTGCTGGTTGGAATTTAACATTTAAGTTTGGGAACAAGGAAAAGCCCCCTAGGCATGATGTTGAAGAGCTGAGTGGTGGGGTCTCTGACCCTCACAAAGATGTGGATGGAACCCACTGGTCAACACGTGGAGTGATGATCAACATGTAGAGCAAGGAGGGATATTGATAAAGTAATCACAACACTTATTTAGTGCCTGTGCTAACACGGTGAAAGGTGTTGGCAACACAGCAGTGAAGACTCACTCCCTGTTCTCATGGAAGTCAGAGGCCACTGCCATTGCAACATGGCATGATGAATGCCAGGAGCTGTCAACTCAGACCACAGCAGAAGCAAAGAGAAATGGCATCTCCCCTGGTGTGACGAGGAGTAGGGTAGAAAGGAGGGTTGGTAATGTGAATTCTGAGCTGAGCAAATTGCCTGGTGATGGAAAGGTACACATGACATTCTCAAGAAAGAGACAAAGAGGTATAAGGCACAAAGTCACAGGAACAAAGTAAAACTTCAGGAGCCCAGGCCACAGGAAGTTCAGTATTTCCAGGCTGCCTGTGCAACAGGGAGACCAACGGTATACTAAAGCTGCAGAGGTGGGAGGCAGATCAGGAAAGTCCTTTAGTGCTGAATTAATAATGAGTTTGGTTAGGTTTTATCCTGAAGGCAGTGGAGAAGCACTGGAGGATTGATTGGAAGGGAGAGGATGGCGTGACTCCATGTCACCCAGGGGAGAAAATATTCTGTACTCTCAGTGCACCATCAGCCTATCACCTTCCCTGAAGTTGCTCCGTGGGCTGTTAGGAAAAACTGATGAGGATCCACACCCATTCCCCTCCTTCTTTCATTCTTCAGACAAGTCCTTTACCTTCTATCATATTAGATGATTTTTATCTCAGAATCCTATTGATATCATAGCAGCATTCAATGAAAGCACCTCTCAGCTGGATATCTCAGTGTGTCTTTTTCATTATTTTTCGCACAGACTCCACACTCTACCCCTGGAAAGAAGAAAGCACAAAGTGAAGAACCACCCGCTCCACCACCAGGCATGTATGAAATCTGTTGCTGGAGGATCAACATCATGAGAGGGCACTTTAAAGAGTAATGACTATCTTTCATAATGTCTTCAGCTCCCTTTCCACTGACAGTTCCTATGTCTTTAGTACAAGGTCATTGCTTGAATTGATGTGTGAAATTTTAATGGAAGAAATGGAAAGCACATCTTAATGGGGCAATAAAGTTTTGTGTATTTTACAGCGACTTTCGTCACCACAACTGAAGTAGACATGAGATATTACAATGATTTGCTGAATCCGATCCCAGAGGAATTCATGTCTGTGCCCCTGATACTGCATTGTATTCTAGAACAGGTGGGTGGACTTCTTCCAGAGGGTAGCCTTGAGTGAGCCCCTTCATCTCTCTTTCTTTCCACTTTTAACACTATTTTAAAATTATACTCATAATACCTGAATGTATTCTCAGTTGCAAAGGTTAAAATATTTCACATAAAACCAAAGTTGGCTTTCATCAGCAGCTTTAATCCTCTTTCTTTTGCTATGCTCTGGAATTTCACCTAATACTCCCCTAAGTTTTGAGAGAACATATCCTTAAAACTCTCTTTTGCTAGTATTGTTTAAATGGAAGAAGAGGACAAGGATAGGTGGGGTGGGTAGTAGTCTTCAGCTATCTTTAAATGTTATTTTGAACCTATAGATTTAATTAGACATTTCTACTCTTAATGATAATATTAGTCACTAGTGTTTTTCACAAAATGTGTCCATTTAATTTGGATTTTTGATATGGTACAAGCTGTATGTATTATTCACTTGCATGTGTTTTTAGGTTCCTCTGTATACTAATGTAATGTTAGTAGTGTGCTAAAGGCTGAGTGAATTGCCCGATGGAAAGTCTGATGGAGAAAGGGACATAGTGACATTATCAAGAAAGAGGCAAAGATATGGAGGTCAAGTAGATATATTAAGGCATGTGCCAGGACCATGAGGAAAATCAGTGTTCCCAGCCTGCCCCTGCAAAGTGAAGACCACCACACTAGTAACATAACATCTGGTGATGTTCCCTTCTCATGACTGATGTTGTTATTCATTTGTACCCTCTCTTTTCTCGATCTCGGTTGCTGTATGGTTTGGATATTGAGACGTCCCATAAAACCTCCTGTGCTAATGTAGGAATATTCAGAGGTGGAATGATTAGATGAGGAGAGCTGTAGCTTTCTCAGTCCATCCTAGTTTGAATGGACTGACTGGGTGGTGACTTTCACTGTGTGTGTGTGGGTGGGGGGTGTTCTGGAAAGGTTCATCTTCCCTGTGGCCCCCTCCCCCTGCCCTCTCTCCATTGCCTGGCTGCCATGGGGGGGTCTTCCATCACACCCATCCCCCATGATGTTCAGCCTCTGCTTGGCCCAGAGAAATGGACTTGGCCCATCATGAACTAAAACTCCAAAACAGTGAGCTGAAATAAACTCTTCCTCCTCTAAGTTGTTTTTGTTGGATATTGTGGTTGAACAAACAAAAAGCTGGCTAATATGGTTGCTAATCATTCTATCTATTGTATTGGTCTTTCCAAAGAAAGAGCATTTTTGTTTCATTGGCCAACTCCTTTTTACTTTTTAGTTTATTAACTTCTTCCTTTATCTTCATTATTTTCTTCCCTATCCTTTTTTGGGGCTTAT